GATGAGATAGGCGGACACCGCGGCTGCAGCAAAGAGCTGAAGCATGACTGCCATTGTGAGGATGGCCAGGGCATCCGTGGGCCGGGCTTCAATCTGTGAGTTGGAACTAACTCAGCTGCCCCTGACAACAACAACATGATTTGGTTTTGAGAAGACTCGAAATAGAAGATGTCTAAAGTCTAAGTTGTGAAGCTTTAAAGATGATTTCAGAACAAAAGTTTAAGGAATTCAGCCACCATGGCTCCAGGAAGTGTAGAGTCCATGAGAATTTGGCATTCTTTGTCTGCATTTCTCCCCCTTTGATCAGGATTTTTCTATGGACTCTGTGATCGAAATGTTCAGTAAAGGTACCTGGGGACCGTCCAATTCTTTTGGTCTCAGGGTGAAGCAGGCAGTTGTCCATGAGCCTATTAGCCACACATCTCAAATCCTCCTGCTGGTCAAGACTCCCCTCCTTCCTCTGATGCTTCAGCAGACAGAGACCCATGGCACCGTGCATGCTTCCTGGAGGCTTTAAGAGCCCAGACGCTATGCGACGAAGCAGGAGGCAGTACACAAGCACTACACATGCTATTAGGCCAAGCTAATGAGGGTGTCCCATGAAACCATGACCCTAAACCTCCACAACATGCTTCTATCTATTCATTCATTCATGCCATGACCAGACTTTAGATAAATTAGATCTGAGTAAGTCTTGTCCTTCAGCCCAATCCAAATCTCATTAAATTCTTCACAACCACCAATGAGATACATATGATTGTTCCCATGGTGCAGACCAACTACCTAGGCCAGCGGTTCTCAACCTTCCTCAGGCAGCAACCCATTCATACAGTGACTCAGGTGGTGGTGACCCCCCAACCATAAAACTATTTTCATTGCTACTTCATTTTTCTACTGTGATGTATTGCTATGTGAATGTCTGATATGCAGGATGTATTTTCATTGTTACAAATCGAACATAATTGAAGCATCGTGATGCATCACAAAAACAATATGTCATTCTATATTATCAAATAATTTTTCAATGACAAATCAATGAAATGTTGTCTTGAAGCATGGCGTAGCCTGGTACCAGTCTTCACGCCTGGTCCTTATAGGTGGGCCTATCTGCATGTGGGCAGACCCACCTGGAGACGGATAGAGGAGCGGTGTCTCGGTTCCTAAGACCATCGTAAATCAGTTTTCAGATGGTCTTAGGGACCCCTGTGAAAGGGTTACACACCCCCCCAAAGGGGTTGTGACCCAGAGGTTGAGACCCGCTGCCCTAGAGGCTGCCTTTGAAGATAGGAACTGAGGAAAGAAAGTACCATGGGAACTTGAAAGGCAAGGACGTACCTGTCATCTTTGAGTGTAACCCAGACTCCCGAAGACCAACACATCAGCACCCAAACACCAGCCCTACTCCCCCGACTCTGAGCATCCCTTTTCGACCCTCCTTCCTCTTCTCTGTCTTGATCTATTTCCCCAGTGGCTGGTTTTCATTTCCCTCTTCCTCTTAGATCACTTGCCAAGTGTGGGAGTCTGAGCAACAAGAGCCTCCTCCACTCCCCGCCCAGCCCCTTAGGGGCTCCTGAGGGTGAAGTCCATGGGCAGAAGTAGAGGAGGCCCCTCTAACAGCCTCAAGTCTCGTCTTTCTTGACCCCCCCCTGGCTAGTAGCCCCTGTCGTCCTTGTCCACCAGGTGGCACCAAGCATGTGCTCACGGCCCGCTCTGCATCCCAAGACCTTCCCTTCCGCGACTCCAGGGCTCCACAGATCCTAGGCTCTGTTTTCCCTACCTTCACCCCAATCCGACTCCGTTTGCCTCCCCCAAAGGCCGGTTCTTTATTAGACCCTTCCAACGCTGCCTTCCGTTCTGACCCTGCCGGGCCTGCGTCAGCAGCCTCTACGGGAACCAGTGTCATGGCGAAGATGGTAAACTTCGTCTGACGTCATTTGGACGTCTTGTCGGGAGAGATGGGTCCCAGGAGGAGGACGTCATGCTTGGCAACATTGAGGGGCGGCGGAACAGAGGAAGGCCCTCAGGGAGATGGATGGACCCTTTGGCCGCAAGAAGGGGCCCAGGAATAGGCGCCATGGCGAGGATGGTGCCGGCCCGGGGAAGTGTTCCGAGCTGTGGTGGATCGGACCCGACTAGAGGGCTCCCTACACCAACAACACGGGGATCCGTGAAAGCAGGTACTTTCCATAGTTCTGTCCCCAGCACCATCCTTCACATGCGTTGATTCCTCTTTGGTCTTCCTTAGTGTCCAACTTCCACACGTGTAGGAGGCAATGGAAGTCAATCCCACGGTCAGGCTCACCCTCGACTTCAAAATAACATGCTTGTTTTTCAACCCTTTGGAGCCAGCTTGGTCAGGTAGAGGGGCCGTGGAAAAGATGATGGCCCTCAAGGAGATGAACTGGCCCAGTGGCTGCAACACTGGACAACTGTGAGGCTGGCTCAGGACCGGGCGATGCTTTGTTCTGTTGTGTGTAGGATGGCGATGCTTCCAAACTGACTCAAGAGCCAACAACAACAACATCAACAACTCTCTGTGGAGGGCGACAACTCTCCCCAAACTCACCAAGTGCACCGCCATTGAGTTGATTGCGACTCATCGTGAACCTGCACGATTCCTGTCCTCTCTGGCAGGAAGTGTGGGGTCCACCCGGTGCTTTGGAGGGGAGCCTCTTCCTCAGCCCGCTGTCCTCTCGAAGTCAGTAGGTGTTTCTACTCTAGAACTTTGTTTTGAGGTCGCTTGGGGGGAACTGTCCTCCAAAGAGAGAGAAACGAGACAGATTGCAAGTCACAGAGAAGAAGAAGTGGGGAGCGCTAGTGAAGTTCACTCAGGCCCCGTGGGTGAGTGAGAGGTGGACACAGGCTGAGAGGCCCAAGGATCTCTGCCCACCAAGTTTCTGTTCCCCTTTTGTTCTCCACCCACGACAGACAGCGCCAGAGACAGACCCCAAATTCCACTCAGCTCAGTCAGTCACATGGTTCTGACCCGGTCTTTCCATTTCCAGTCTGAGTCAAAGGCAGCTCCCCCGACCTTCTGCTTACAGCCTGCACCTGGAATGGAGCAGAAAAGTCAGCCAGGAACTCCAACAGAGAAAGATTTGCCTGCTTGCCAAACGTGCCCACCGACGCACGACTCACCCTTGACCTCTTGCTCTATAGACTCAGGAGTGCCAGCTAGACAGAGCTGGGTTTAGCTCGCCAGGGCCCCGTGGAGATCAGGAGATGGGTAGCCCGAGTCCTCGCCTTGCTCACTCATGCCATCTCCCTCGACGACCACCGTCTCTGTTTTTAAGTGCCACAGGGGTGAGTTGCTCAATGGAGCCTGTGGGCTTCAGACACCCTGAGCACGTGACCGGAGCCTCACTTCCTCACCTGCAAAAATGGGTGACTAGAAAGAAGGACACATACGTTGGGCATTGTTTTGTGATCCTCAATCATCCTTGAGTAAATGAGGCGTCTTACTTGGCATGTTCTCTCATTAGAATTTACCTTGGCTGAGCCAGAAGAGGGGCCCCGGGGGTGCCATGGTGACATGTCGGCTTGCTAACCGCAAGGTCAACCGTTCAAAACCAGCAGGGGCACCCGGCAGAAAGATCAGGCTTTCTACTCCCATAAAGAGCTCCAGTCTCGGAAACTCCGAGGTGCCATTCTACTCCGTCCTCTAGGCTCGCGGCGCGTCAGTGTGAGCTCGAGGCAGGGAGTTAGAGTTGGGTGTTGGGCCCGAGGAATCATGGAACTATACAAAGGACCCACACAACGGCTAAGGTTCATGGTACCTTTGAAGGCCAGAGGCTTCTCTGGCCTTGACCCTCATCCAGAAGAGCAGGCCTGAGTTTCCCAGCCAGCCCTTCGGTCCACCTTTCATCCTCCCAGAATCTGGGCAGTGAGGCAGCGGTGGCTGCTTCTTCTTTTTCTTCTCCTTTTTAATAAATTGTTTTACTGAGGGCTTTTACAGCTCTTATCACAATCCATACATCAGTGGGATCAAGTGCATTTGTACATAGGTTGCCATTATCGTTTTCAAAACATTTTCTTTCCACTGAGCCCTTGCTATCAGCTCTCTTTTCTCCCTCCCTCCCTCACCTTTCTCCCTCATGAACCCTTGATAAATTATAATTTATTATCATTTTCATATCTTACACCCTCCTCTGTCTTCCTTCACCCAAGTTTCTGTTGTTCGTCCCCCTGAGGGAGGTGGGGTTATACATCGATCATTGTGATCAGTTCCCTGTTTCTTCCCCTTCTCCCCCCACCTTCCCCTGCGCTCATGGGTTCCTACTCCCATTACTGTTCCAGAAAGGTTTATCTGTCCTGGATTCCATGTGTTGAGAGCTATGATCTGTACCTCCTTAAAGAACCAGACTGACTGGTGTGTGTTCTGTCGGTGCTACACTGCACCTGGCTGACTTGTTCCTTCCTGAGACCCTTCCCTAAGGGGATGTCCAGTTGCCTACAGATGGGTTTTGGGTCCCTGCTTTGTACTCCCTCTCATTCACAATGACATAGTTTTTTGTTCTTTGATGCCTAATACCTGATCCCTTCAACACCTCTTGAAGGCTGGGGTACTTCTTCCATGTGGGCTTTGTTGCTTCTCAGCTAGATGGGTGCTTATTTACCTTCAAGCTTTTAGGACCCCAGACGCTATATCTTTTGATAGCCGGGCACCATCAGCTTTCCTCACCACGTTTGCTTGTGCACCCATTTGTCCTCAGAGATGGTGGCGGGAAGGTGAGCCTCACAGGGTGAGGCTACTTCTTCCTGTTTATGGGGCTCTCTCTCTCTCTTTCTCTCTGTCTCTCGCTGCCACCGTGACTCCCTGAAATCCAACCTGCCCCTTACTTTCTCACATGTCCTCAGCATCCAGGGTCCTTTCCCCAACCAAGTTGTTTCTGAATTCTTTCTGTGGCTCACATCCAGATGAAGTTGTTGCCACCTTCCGTGTCCCCAGCCTCTCCTCAGCCCACTCCAGCTGGCCTGTGCCACCAGCTTGGCCAGGTCCAGTCCAGGATCACCCGGGCCCTCTGTTGCTAGGTCCCAGGACGTCCCCATTTCTCCCCACAATGGACAGCTTTCCAACCCACGACATCACTTGCCTTCCCTCCTTCAAGCTGCCTCTCCACGAGCCCCTTTTCTCTCTTGGACTTTCGTCTCCTGCCTCCGGGCGGGATTCCCTCTCAGGCTTCACGAGCTCCTCTTCTGCTCTGCGGCCGGCCAGCCTTGATGCTCCTGTTACCGAGCAGAGGACCACCGCCCTGGAGCCCCTGCACTCAGGCTCCTGGCCTGGGTTTAGTAGGAACACTCGGAGATGGAACTTACCTTATAGAAGGCACAGGCAAGGATTTTCATTTTGATGGAAAGCGCGAGCGGGCGCAGTGAGGATTGCTCCTTGGGCAAAAAGACGGCCTCTCCAGAGAAAGGTGGGGAGGGGGTTTTGTAGGAAAATTGAGAACTAAGAAGCGATTTACATGCATAAAGTGTACACATCATTCATCAAGGGGTGACGTATCGTTCACAGGGAGCCCTGCCTTTGGAAATGGGGCGGAGCAGCATCGAGTGCCGTTGACTGAGGATGTCCGGTTCCTTGACACGAGTTACAATGTCTTGGGGCTGGCTGGTGGACGAGGTCCTGGCACCTGTGCCTGGGTGGAATTTGATTCTGGCTGTCTCTGACAGACAACTTTTCATGGGGCTCATCAGCTATTTCTTCTCCAAAGAATTATCTTCTAGGGACCTTAACGGTTACTTACTCAGGGGAGCATGGTCGTGGGGTAGAGTGAAGGTTGTCTTTGCGTTCATGGATCTGGGCAGATGGGCTTTCCCATTCACAGCCTCTCACGGCCTCTGGCCAGTTTCATTTCCTTGGGATCCATTCCAGACTCATCTTTCTGCTTCCTCTTCAGACCAGGATTTCCTCCAGAACTTCTGCTGAGGCTCCTAACCCTCTCCAGTCCAGCCTTTCCTCCTGAGATCCAGACTCCCACATCCAACTACCCCGGGGCAATCCCACTTGGAGGCCCCAGCGGCCCCTCCAGTACAACACAATCATCGTAATAGCAGAATAAGAATAATAGCCAACAACAACATCGCTTACCATGTACCATACAAGGAGCCCTGGTGGCACAGTGGGTTACCTGCTGGGCTGTTCCCGATGAGGTCAGCAGTTCAAATCCTCTGGAAAAAGGCGAGACTTGCTGGACCCTTAATATGTATAGCCTCGGAAACTCACAGGGGAAGTTCTACTCGGTCCTACAGGGCAGTGGTTCTCAACATTCCTAAGGCCGCGACCCTTTCATACAGTTCCTCATGTTGTGGTGACCCCCAACCATACCATTATTTTTGCAGCTTCCTCATCACTGTCATTTTGCTATTGTTATGAATCATCATGTAAATATCTGATAGGCAGGATGCATTTTCATTGCCACAAATCAAACATTATGAAAGCATTGTGATCCATCACAAAAACAAGCTGTCATTCTATATTGTGAAATATTTATTTCTAGTGACCAAAAAAAATGACATTTTGTTTTGAACCATGGTGTAGCCTGGGTAACAGTCTTCACGCCGGGTACACATAGGTGGGCGTATCTGCATGTGGGTGGACCCGCCTGCAGACGGATAGAGGAGCGTGTCAGTTCCTAAGACCATCAGAAATATGTGTTTTGTGATGGTCTTAGGGGACCGCTGTGACAGGGTCGTTTGACCCCCAAAGGGGTTGCGACCCACAGGTTGAGAACCGCTGCTATAGGGTCACTGAGGGTCGGAATCTACTTGGGGGCAGTGGCTACGTACAGTGCACTCTTGTGAGCAGTTCACGGTTCGGCATCCAGCCGTCCCCGGAGCAGCAGGAGGGGGGTGCCTTCGACATGCCCACTGGACAGGAAGCGGAGGGGCAGAGAGGTGGAGGCACCCGACTCTCACGTGCCAGGCTGCTGTTAGGTGCTGGCGAGAAGGCTCCGACGGGCAGCAGCCCCTCCGTACAACAGGACGACGGCTGCCTAGTCTTACGCCAGCCTCGTAATCGCTCTTAGGTTTGAGCGTCTGGTGGCAGCCACCACGCCACCCTTGTCAGGGCCTTGCTCGTTCTCA